TTTACTGGCCCCCTCCCGAAAGAGTCACCTGCTTCCTTTAGTTAATACCTTAGGTCAGGTGTCCCCGGCCTAGGTACTGTGCTCTCTCTTTGAATTGACGTTGCCTACCTCTGCACGGTGCTAACTTTACAACTTCCCTTTCCAGTTTCCCAAATCCTCGGGTGTCACACTCATTGTTGATCGGTCCCTTCCGATTTGTTTCTTCCACCTTGTCTGCTGAGCAGAGAACTGCTAAATGACCTCCGAGCCACACTGATGCCCAAGGACCAGCAGGTCACCCGGCCCCACTCCTTATCTGATGCCGCTGACACTGTCCTCAGAGAAGTAGGGGACGGACACTCGAGAAGCCTGTTTTTTAAGAGCTCCTGTTAAGTTTCGTGTTGAGTCATGTGGGTGCAAAGAGGTGTCATTTTAGCAGCTTCTCTTTCTTGGCAGTGACCTTGAGAGCTAAAAATGGGCCACCAGATGCTCTAGAGGGGACACTGAGAAAATACCTAGTCCATCCCGAGCCCTTGGGCAGAGCAAACCATCATGCATTCATTCAACAATCATTTTCCCAGCAGTACCTTGGACCACGCACCACGCTGGGCACTGAAGAGCCAAAGTGGACCCAGACAGAGAGGTCCCTTCCTCCAGGAAGTTGTCTCAGGAGTGGGGAGGGGGGAAAAGGGTGTCAGATATTTTATGAAGAGCTTCACTGTGGGTTGTAATAAGCACTGAGTCCCAGCACTTGTAGTAAGTGCCGAAGTCCAGATGTAACAGTCATGCCCTCTCTGTCCCCCAGCATGGGGGTCCAGCAAATCTCACGCTTCAAACTAGCTAGTACTGCTCTCCCCACCCCTCCACACTATGCCCATGACCAGAAGAATTCCAGGACCAGAGCCCAATGCCCAAAATACTTGATAAATATGTCTTGATTGCCTGGATGTAGATTGATACTGCTTTCACAGAGTAGGACGAAAGTTGAAATCAGCGGCCCATATGATTACCATCTTTGGGAGGGTTCCAAGAAGGCACTAGGCATGCAGCTTTGCTGGGGTTTAAGCCACAAGGTACACACACACACACACACACACACACACACACTCTGAGGTTTTAAAATAGGGCTAACACTGAGGCCTGTCAGGAGTTAAACTTGGACACTGAAATGCCTAAGGATTTCACAGAAGCAGAAAACCCGCTCAGTTTTTTTTTCCAGCCTGCCCAGCTGGGCATATGCAACTAATCTGAAAGACGATCTTGGTTTTCAAGTAGATTGATCACATCCAAGATAACCACAAAAAGAGAGCTCTACAGATAGACAGGTTGGGTCTTAATGACCTGCAAATGGGTCTACCTACAGTTGGTACCCGCTGCCCCTGTCCTGCTTGAGCAGCCCCGGGATCACCTGCTTCAAACGCCCCCCACCCCCGCCCCACCATGTATCCTGTATACAGCTTCCAGACTTTATAGGAGGCAAGAAAGCCCCTGAGACCAACCAGGCTGTGACCCCACTCCCTGCCCTCACTCCTCCAAATCACTCAAATGAGTATTTGGGCTGTCCCTGAACCTTGACCTCTGTGTATCTTTTTCAATCCATCAGGGGTTTCCTGGTGCCTTTGGAACGTTTGTGATGATTAATTAGTAAGCTGGTATTTATAAAGTGCTAAGTGAGTGCTGCAGTTTATGAGCCAACTTTATCTCTGACAGCCTCCCTAATCCCTTCCCAGCATCTCAGGCTTCAGGGACCACCCAGTTCTGCGAGGCTCTGGAATGCCCCTCATCGTCCACGCCATACAGCCCCCCAAACCCAAGAGCTCCTCCCAACACCCCCATTTCTCCCCCCTCTTCTTCAAAGTGCTGTTGTTTTTCTTAATATTACTGTGCCCCTCCCCGAAAGATAGTTACACAAGTCTATGTGGGAGGAAGAAGAGAAACATAAGTCAATGGTGACTAAGTCTGCCTCGCTCCCTTGCCACTGGAATACTGTCAGAATTGGCTCCGGCTCACCCTGCCTCTGTAAAAATCCTTTGCGGAGGGTGTGATTTTTCCTGAAGATCATTCTTTCCACATGACCAAATGCTGTAATGTGTAACCAGTCCACATCGTTTCTTTCTGCCCAAATCCATGCTTGGGGCACAGCACTCAGGGTCATTCAGAAATGATTCCCCCTAATGAAGAGGCACAATCTGTGCTCATGGGTGTCCCTGCCTCTCCACCTCCACTTCTTTCATTTCTGAATAGGTGCATTTCCTCAAGTCCAGTGGCCTCAGAAGGAACAAGTTCAAGTAAAGTGCAGCCCCCGGCATGCATCTCAGGGTTTAGCAGAGCAACGGCTGTGCCTACAGGCAGGGCCCAGAAATGAGGCAGAGAACTAAGCATCATGAGCTCTCATCCTGTCTAAAACCCTGAGAACCTGAGAGAAAATCACCCCAAGATGGTGGGGTGATTTAACACCAAGAGCTGTTAAAAGGGCTCACCCATGTGGGCAGCATTTCCTGAGCTCTACCCAATATAACAGCAGCAAGGTCTGGGCGATCCACTCCCCTTCTAGAAGACACAAGAGGTGGGGTGCCTGGGTGGCTCAGTCGGTTAAGCATCCGCCTTAAGCATCTGCCTTCGGCTCAGGTCATGATCCCGGGGTCCTGGGATCGAGTCCCATGTTGGGCTCCCTGCTCAATAGGGAGACTGCTTCTCCCTCTCCCTCTCCCTCTCCCCCTGCTTGTGCTCTCTCTCTCTCCCTCTCTAATAAAATAAATCTTAAAAAAAAAAAAAAAATGCAATAGGTAATGAACAAGAATTCCCCAACTGCATCATGGAGCCTGCCCAGCCTCCCGAGGGTTGTGTCCACACAAGCCAAAGGGGTAAGTAACCAGGGAGTTTGATACACACAGCCCACCCGAATAATGCAAACCAAAATCATATCTGGTTTTCACATATATGTAAAGTTGTTTTTTAAGAAGGCAAACTCCCACGTAATCTCATTACTATTAAAAGTTTGCTCCCACATCAAGGAGATGCAAAACATATAATGAAGGCAGCCCTATTTCATGCAGACACATTATAAATCGTAGGTTGGGGCAGGTTGAGGTTCACCAGATCTTTCAAAGGAATCAGCTGCTTTGTGAGGAAGGCTAAGAATCTGGCAGCCCAGAGCATCTGCAGACAGAATTTTTTTTAAAGATTTTATTTATTTATTTGAGAGAGAGAGAGTGAGTGAGCTCGCAAGCAGGGCGAGGGACAAGCAGACTCCACGCTCAGCATGGAGCTAGATGCAGGGCTCAATCCCACGACCCTGAGAGATCATGACCTGAGCCGAAATCAAGAGTGGGGAGCTAACCAACTGAGCCACCCAGGTGCCCCTGAAGACAGAATTTTTTTTAAAGTTTCAATGTACACCCCATCCCTAATCTTTTGCATTCAATAAAAAACGGACGATTTTACTTCTACTCGGTCCTTCAAGGCCACATATGGGTGATGTAGAAACTTGCCTTTTGCAAGTAGCTGAAGCAAACTGCCCGAGACCAACAGAAACTTGATTCTGAGCTTTAAAAAAAACAAAATCATGTCATTTAAGCCGAGCATCTTTATTAGACTCAAAAACACTCTCAAAAATAACTTAATGAAAACATATTTTCTGAACCCTAAAGTGTTTTTCTTAATTTTGTTATTTTTTAAATACCTTTTAAATTAATTTAGCAATATTCTTGAACTATGGCAAACGGACAAATTCCAATGAGGATCCCATTCTACGAAAATCAGTCTGTTGCAGCTTGCTGGCTTTACATTCTCAAGTGCTCTCTGCCTCCAGACCAAGGGTTTTTAAGCCCTGCATCCATCTTTTCTCTGCAAGAACTGGTGAGAACAGTTTCTGCGTAAGGATCCTCAGCATTGTCCTAACGTTTTAGAGAATAAGCACAAAGCACAGTCCTCCTTCTAGGTTAGAGATTCAGACTTCAGTGAGCAGAACTCCCCTGGGTGCTTGTTAAAATGCAGGTTTCTGAGGCCCGTGCAGAGATCGGTCTGGACTGGGGCCTGGGAATCTGTATTATTAACCAGCTCTCCCCTCCTCCACAGCGGTTGATATTGGAGGGCCACAGCGTTGCAGTTTTAAGGTGACACACCAGACCACAGAGAGAAATCCTCTCGGGCCTCTTCCCGAAGCCGCATCCCATGGAGCCTTGGAGAGGATCTCTCTCCTCTGGGGCCCTCACCGAAATGGCAGCATCAAAAGCTCCCTGCCAGTTCCCCTAAAACGGAGTCTCAGGGGACAGCCGTGGCCCAGCAGCTATTCTGCCAAGTCATCCATGTGATGCGCTGGCCCAGGGGTGAGGACCAGCCCCTTCCCCGCTTTAGCTCTCTCCCTGTTTCCGAGAACCGAGACCGTTCGGGGCTGAGGCCCGGCCCCATTTCCCTCGCAACTGCTGGTCCAGCCCTTTCCAAAAGCTGTTGCGGCTCCAGCCGCAGTTGGATCTAAACGGAGGGTCCCCGCTCACCGGATCTACCTTCATACCCCTGCAACCCTCATTGAGAACGCCGGTGGTTAACATCGAGTCGTCTCCATGGCAACCGACAGGGTGTCACAGACTCGGGATTACGACTTCTCCGCGTGGGGATTCCAGACAAGAGGTTGGGGGCGGCGTCCCTCGGATGCCCTGACCTACACCCAAACTGAAGGGATGGATCCCTTTCCTTCCCGCCCCGGTCCCCGGCCCTAGCCGGACCTCTGCCACTCTGCGGCCACATCGAGCAAGGAGGAGAGGGTGGATTTTTACTGCCGCCCCCCCGCCTCAGCTCTACGGCTGGGGATGGCGGGGGGGTGGGCACCCCCCACCCGCGCCCTCGAGCCCCAGCGGCGGAGCCCCAGTGCGCGCGGGCCGCGCGGGGCGGACGCGGGCGCGGGGGCGGGGGCGAGCAGCGGGCGGGCCCCGCGCGGGGCCTAAGCCCCACCCCCGGGGGCGGTGCCTGGCGCCGGGGAGTGTCAGGAAGAGGAAGAGCGCGGCCAGAGGCGGTGCGGGCGCGCGGCGAACAGGGGCCGGGCCCAGGCGAGCGCCGCGCGGGCCACCATGGCCACGGACGAGCTGGCCAGCAAGCTGAACCGGCGGCTGCAGATGGAGGACGAGGGCGGCGCCGAGGCCCCGGAGCAGCCCGGGCTGAACGGGGCGGCGGCGGCGGCGGCGGCGGCGGCCGGGGCGCCCGACGAGGCGGCCGAGGCGCTGGGCAGCGCGGACGGCGAGCTGAGCGCCAAGCTGCTGCGGCGCGCCGACCTCAACCAGGGCATCGGCGAGCCCCAGTCGCCCAGCCGCCGCGTCTTCAACCCCTACACCGAGTTCAAGGAGTTCTCCAGGAAGCAGATCAAGGACATGGAGAAGATGTTCAAGCAGTGAGTGCCCGCCCGACCCGCCCCCCCCACCCACCCCGCGCGCCGGCCTCGGGCCCCGAACCCCCCGAACCCCGCGCCTCCCGGGACCCCTGCCGCCAATCGTGCGCCCCCGAACCCCGACACACCAGGGGTGGCGACCCCGCGTCCCCTTTCATTTAATCACGAGGCTTCAAGACCTCCTCCCCACCACGCGTGTGAGTCTGGCGACCCCCAGCCCCTAATACGCGACCCCTCCTCACGGTGACGCGGCCGCCAGTACACCATACGCGCTCACTCGGTGTGGAGGACTGTGCGGCCCCTCCAGGTAACCCCGAGTCCCCGCGAGCCCCCACTACCACCACACACATGAGTCTGAAGATTCTGGGGCTCTGGCCTCGGACCCCTGTGTTAGTGAAGCTTTCCTCGCCACCCACCAGACACCCACGCACCCTGAGATTTGAGGACCCCGTGGCCTCCCTTTCCCCCTCCCTAGCTACTCGAATTCCCTACCCCCACACCCAACACCCTGGTCAAAAACATCCACACACACCCCCAGCACCTCAACAAAGGTTACCATTCCCTACCCCCCATGCTGTACCCATTCTTTTTATTGGGGTCCTTTCATTTCCTCTGCTTATCTCAGATTCCCCTCAACATAGGTTCTGGGCAAAGACCCCCCCCTTCAATTATTCAGCATCTGCTAGCAAACTGTGGTCAAAGACCCTCCAGACCCTTCCACCCCTACCCCTATCCACTCTGCTAGACAGGACCCCAATCCTTGACCCTCAGGTGGTCTCCTAGGGATCTCTCCATCCCTGCCCCCCACTCTGCAGGTATGTACCACTCATCCTCCCTTCAGGGCTGAGTCCCCTCCTCCCTCCACACACTGTTTCTCCCTCTTCTTGCCCTAACCTCCCCCCTCAGCAGCTTTGCAGGCACTGCCTTCCGCCACTGTGTGCCCCCTTTCCTCCCACACGGGGTTCCTGACACCCCACACCTCCCTATCTAATTTGCCTGGTTGCTCTCACCCCTACCTTTTCCTCTGTGTAATGCCACACACTGTGCCCTTAGCAGGTTGGACAGACACCCCCCAGGCCTGTGGCTCAGCCCTCCCCACCCCACCCCCCCAAAAAACTTAAAATCTCTGTGAAGGGACTAAATGGTCCCCTTCTGGTCCATCCCTGAGTCCACCCAGTTGAGACTGAGATGGACAGCCAAACTCTTCACAACCACAGTTGTGCAGGCGGCAGGCTGTGGGGTGGGGGTGGGGGGGTAGGAGTTATAAAAGCTCGCAGCCCCCTTCCGTTTGGTACCCTTCCCCACTTCTTGTTGCCCGTCCCCTTGCCCCTGGCCCCTGGAGGGGGAACAGCCCAGGGGTATGGTCTGGAGTGGAGAGGCGCTGACCCACCTTGGCTGAGGCAGGAGGACAGGGCAGGATGGGGCTGTGTACCCAAGCAGCAAGCAGGAAGCCCAGGAAGGGGGTGTTTTGCAACCCCACAGCTTGAGAAAGGCTCTTTCCCACTTCTCATCGCTGCTGCTTCTGCCTGTGGCCCCCACACAGGGGAAGAGGGTTTTGTTTCCCGGACCTGGATGGCTGGGAACCCCGTACTTTCCCAAGGGTCAGCCTGGGGGGAAACAGTCCTTAACACTCCTCTGGACCTCTGTGTGGAAGTCCCTGGGCCCTGAGGAGCCTGCCTCTTTGACTCCAGGGTCTTTATTGGGAATTCTAAAGTTTCTTTCCCCACCAAAGACTGTCACCATCAGGAGAGCAGGATTTCCAGGATTCCAACCCAAACTGATGGAAAGCTCCTTGAGCCCAGGGCTAGGTATAGATAGCTTCACTGTCTGGAACTTCCTTGTAGAACCTGCCCACCCCCCAACCCCTACCCCGGAGTTAGTGCAGGGGAGGTTGTTCAAATGCATCTGTGATTGATAGTGTCTAGGCATTGATAGTATCTAGGTAAAAAGGAGCTCCTGGATCCCACCCAGCACCCCCATGACGCAGAACTGTCATCATCACCATGGCACAGGTGGGCGGTCTGGGCACAGAGAAGTTAAATAACTCGCCAAGAGCACACAGCTAGAAAATGATGGAATCAGGATCTGAACTCAGGTCTGTGACTCCAAAAGCCATGTTCCTACCTTCTGGGTTTTCCGTCACAGACATCTCCCTCCACATGGGAGAATGCACTTCTCCAACACCCCCTTCCCATGTTCATGGCTGATTTCCCACCTCACGGACCCACCATTGGCCCGTGTCTTTCTGCCAGAATCTTCCTTCTCTTGGGCTTCCTCAGCATTGCTATACCCCGCCAAAAAAAGATGGAGCTGTTTGGGAGAACCCATGCACCCCGAATGGGTAGGGACTTGGGAGGCCGCAGCTTGATCAGAAGGGCACATGACCAGAGGAATGGCCCGGAAGCCGCATTTGTGAGCACACTCACCTTCTAGAGAGGCTGTTTGGGGTGTTAGTTTGACAAGGTTTCCTCTGATGAAGTTTGGGGGGAGCTGAACTCCTTCCAACTCCCCTGCGGGCCACCTCTTGGCACCACTGCTGCTTGCTGCTTTGGAAGGGGTGGGGGTGGGGGACAGGAAGGGGCCGGGGAGCTGGACTTCTAGGGAAGGAAGTGCCTCCCGCCGGGGCCCTGGCGAGGATAGAAAGCTGCAGGTTTTGTATTCAAGGAAACAAGGCTTCACTGTGCCAGCCGAGCCCCGAGCCCCGGCTGGGAACAGCCAACACACAGGCTCTCGGGGAGGACAAAACCCCTGTTCTGCTTCTGCTGCCCTGGTGAGGCCACCACCTCCTGGGTCCAAGCGGGGCCCTGCTGAGAGACTTCCACCCTGGTCTCCAGCTCCCTCCCAGGGAGGAGGGGAGCCCAGCCCTCCTGGAAGCCATTCACCGGAGCAGAGTACAAGAGAGAGGGAGGTCCTAGGGAACTGGGAGCTGACCTTCCTTGGAAGGCAGGAGCTAGAAAGCCTGGTCTTCTGTCCCGGCTCTGCCCTGACTTACTTAGTAATTAATTCCCATCTGCAAAAGGAGCAGGCTGTATTCAGCAGTGGCCTCCTTATTTCTGAGGGGTCCTGAACCCTTCTGGATGACAGACTGCCTTCCAGGGTCTTCCGGTTCATCCATTTAGTGTCTCTCAGCAGATCCTTCCCGAGGAGGGAGATAGAAGGGGAGAACCAAGGGGATTGAGGGAAGCAAGACAGGCCGTCCGCCATCACTGACCTCACCGTCCAGCCGTGCAGGTTCCAGCTGGGAGAGAGCTCCAGCCCTGCTCCCCATCTTAGAAGGCAACTAAGACCCAGAAAGTGTGGTGGCTGGCTTGGGGTCACAGGGAAGTTTTCAGTGGCCGAACCAGAGCCTCCTTGTCTGTACAGCTGAGGATGGTGGTCTCTGCTTCTCAGGTGGGGCTGGGAGGGGGTGACTCCCGTACAGCTCGGGCATCGTGCCCGGCCTCCGTGGAACCTGGATTCTTAGTCCTCCCTCCCCGGGTGGCCTCAGGCAGCCCCAGCGCTTCCAACCTCTCTCCCCACCTCTCTCGGCCCATCCATTCAGGGCTCTCTCTGGAAACTTCCAGCCGAAGGGGGAATGGTGTGACCCCACAGAGCCTCAAGGGGGACCACCTCTGGGCTGGCAGCAGCCTGTGTGAGGCTCTGTGGGGTTCTGTAAGTGGAGCCCAGCCCGAGAGGTCGGCAGCCACGTAATTCCGAACCCGCCGTGGAATCTGAGGAAGATGCCCTAGTTCCCTGCCTGGCTGGCCTCGCCCCCAGACACTGCATCTCATGACCCCTTGCGTCAGAGAGGCAGGCTTCCCTCTCCTTCTGGACGCCTCTGCCCTTCCCTCTTCTCCGTTTGCTCCTCCTCCCATGTGTCTCCTCAGACCCTGTCCCTCGCAGAAGCTCCCCTAGCATCCTTTCTGGAAGACAGCAGGACACAGTAGTTAAGAGCAGGAATCTGTGGGCTTGGAGTCCGTGGGTTTGAATCCCAAGGCCCTTAAACCTTCTGGGCCTCAGTTCCTCACCCGAAAACAGGCAGAGTAACAGAGTAATAGCACCCACCTCACAGAGCTGTTGTGAAGTACTTAACCCAGTGCTCAGCACAAAGGAAGTACTGTGAAGTTCCTGTCCCCTCATCCCTGGGCCTGGGCCTGGGCCTGGTGGTGGTCCTTGGTGGTGTTCCACGGACCCTCCTGGCTGCCTCCACTTACCCCCTACAGAGCTGCCCGGCTGGCGAAAGCCTCATGGGCCCGACGGTTGGGGAGCCAGCATGAGAACCCCCCTTTTCTCCTGCTGAACAGGCACTCCGGTTGACAGCTACATATGGCTCTGATAAATAACAAAAATGAGAAACACTCATTTTCACTTAATTACGTGGAAGGCAGGTGGCAGAAAAAAGGAAAGAGCAAACGACAGCTCACGTCCACCGCGGGGCAGCCGGGCGACTCTGGGCAGGGTGTTCATCTTTGCAGCCTCACCCTGCACTAAAGACCCTCCCTGGGTTAGGTCTGAGGATCCAGTTTAAAGAGTCCTGGCCCTTTGTAAAGAGTACACCATCATGTCCGGCCTGTGGGCTGTTAAAAACATAGATACTTTTGAAAAAACATAAAATCTATCCATTTGATCATTCATCCAACACATACTAAGTTTCTGCTGTGTGCAAGTTCTAGAGAATCAAGGGAAGAAGGAAGCTCCCACCCTCGGGGAGCTTAAAGTCTCATGAAAAGCAGTGGTATAGAGGGGGTCTCTGGGGGTAGAGAGGATGGGCCCATGTGGCTAGAAGTGGAAACTTCCATTTCTTTATCCCGACCGTGAGGACTGAACACACTCACGAGGGATGCCGTGATGATGCATCCCCCTCAGCCAGCCCCCTGCCTCCACACCCTCTCCTTGTTAAGTGGGACCCCCAGGTCCAGTTGCTCACAGCAGCGCAGTGAGGTGGGTAAATTATGACCCCCACTGGCCAGACAAAGAAATTGAGGCTCAAGGAGGTTGAGTCAGGCACCCAAGGTTATAATAAG